ACTCAGAATATTATACAAACCTGCAATAATTAAATATGTTAAATAAGACAAATATCATTTATGTATTTTATCCCATTTTATTAACCAGTGTCAAGTCAAGTCAAGTCACCTTTATTTATACAGCGCTTTAACAATACAGATTGTGTCAAAGCAGCTTTACAGTATCAAACAGGAAAACAGTGTGTCAATAATGCAGAAGAACAATAGTAAACACACTTAAGATATTAGGGATGTAACGATATGATCAATACGTGAAAGAGTATTTACATTTGTAAAAGAAGAACTTTTTATATTAAAAACAAACAAGCAAGCCCAGCCCAGATTTAAAAAGTAACTCAAAAGTAACGTAACGCATTACTTTCCATAAAAAGCAACTAAGTAACATAATTAGTTACTTGTTTTAGGGAGTAACGCTATATTGTAATGCATTACTTTTAAAAGTAACTTTCCCCAACACTGCTCATCACATTCAGGCCTGATGCTGTGCTCCTGTAGCTCAGAGACACACACCTGGGCTCTCATAAACACATTATCTGCCATCACAGACCCAATAAACTGTGCAGCGCTGCGGTCAGTAATGAGCCGGACGACACCTCCACTTCCCCTCACAAACAACAACTGCAACAACAGACCCAGCGTGTGCAGGCCACTCATCTTTCTGCAAACACGCTAACAGATCAGCGGGTTCTGTTTCATTCTACAGCAGAAAGATTTTACTAGCGGTGCCTAAATCTGCATTAAACGTCTTCATGTCGAACAGGTAAACTCTTCTTTCACAGCCTCATTGTGTTTGTCATTATGAACTGTTCTAACTTTCAAGAAAAATGTTTTAAAATACAGACTGAAGAGTTTCAGAAGCTTAACGGTGGTGATGTAGATCGCTCAGCTTTTTACTTCTAGCGATTGCATTTAGGGTCTAAAGTCGTGTTCGTTTGAGAAGATTATGATGAACAAAACATGTGAGAATCATAAACTTCTGCTGGTCACAGAGCTTATTTTGTGCAATAATCCAAAAGCCGATGGACAATCCTATTGAGTTTTTGTTGGAGGAACGGGGTGATGAGAACTGACCGTTTGACCTACAACCTAAAAATGGTTTCTTTAAACACCATCTGAAGCATTTGTTAATCTGTCAGAAGACTGAAGGTGTCTGAATGTTTTGCTTACACACCAAACTGTGTCAAACACCGGCTGAGCTCGGACAGAATTACACTTCAGATCACTTCAGGATGACCTATACATCTAATATTGATCAGCTCTGAATCCAGACGTGGACAGTGATGCAGACAGTCCCAGTGCATCACACAGTGTTTTCAGCTTGAGCTTCCTCTTTGCTCTCGCTGCGGGAGAAACATCTGAGAAGTGAAAGTCCATTTGCTGTCTAAGAGATTTACTGTATAAAATCTAACTTATAATTTTTCTTGCTGTGGGTAGAGTGTGATGTGGATCAATAAGATGTTGAGAGAATCACAGATACCTGTTAACTCAGACACTAGCTAATACAACTCAGAGAGTCTAAAAACCACTAAACACTCATTTTAGTCACTAGAAAGGAACACAGTCAATGCTGAAGCAGACTTGCTCTGATGTTTTAGGTTTGATGTGAAACCGTGTTTATTTAGCCAGTGAGTGTGGGGCCCAAAAGATGGAGGCTGAAGAAACAGAAGAAGACGTGTGAAGACCACACCATTTGGTAAAGGTGTGAAGGTGCGCTCACCTATATAATGCACAAGCAGACAAACGCAGAGACATTAGAAAAGAAGATAAGAAGAGAACAGTCATCAGAAGCAGGAAAGAAGACAGCAGAAGACTTGAAACTGTATTTCTCCATTGTGAAAGCTCAGTGAGCGAGGTGTTGACTTAAAACTGATAAAGCCAAAAGCACGTCTACCAGAAGCATGCTGGGTGTGGAAATGTGCCCTAGTTTGGCCCTGGGACCCCCGAGACGGAGCGACCGCTGCCACAGAGGTAAGAGACTCCAGATCTGTCTCTGCAGTCAGCCAGAGAACCACAGAAGCTAGCAGAAATCTGCACGAGTTTAAGCTAGAACACAAGTGATCGCAGAGATTTTACTCTTAAAAATAAAGGTTCCACTGTTCCACAAAAAAAGTGGGGTTCCCCAAAGTAATATTATTTTAGTATATTTTGAATGAGTTTTGTAAAAAGTTGTTTTCTTAATATGTATATAGTTTTTATTCATTTTTACTGCAGTTTTAGGTTTACTTATTTTAGTGCATCAAGTTAAACTATATGAAAATGAGAAATGCTCAAGCAATTAGCTGAAATAAAATATATTAATTACATTTCCAATGTTTTTTAAGGTTTTAGTTTAAAGAAATGTTCAGTGAACAGTTCTCAAAAGAACCTTTTTTTCTTATTGTGAAGAACATTTTATGGAATGGAATGATTCCACGGATGTTAAACGTTCTTCATGGAACCAAAAATGCAAATAAAGAATAAATAAGTATAATGAGTGCTAAGAAGATCTGGTGTTGTATAGAGATTAACAGTGCATAAGAAGACTTGATATGATGCTCATCAAGCCATTGATAAAGGTTTCAAAAGGGTTTTTTTTGAAGCAATGCCATAGAAGGGTCATTTTGGGTTCCCCAAACAAACTTTCAGTGAACAGTGCTTAAACGAACCGTTTTTCTTAGTGTGAAGAACATTTTAACAATCTAAAGAACCACTATAAAGAACTGTAAAGACTGCATGGATGCTAAAGGTTCTCCGTGGAAGCATCAATGCCAATAACGAACGTATATTTCTAAGAGTGTGATGCTAAGATGCAGATGTGGCCCATCTCTGGCAGATGAAGCCCCAGCACACGCTCTCGCTCCTCGACTGTCGCCCGCTGCAGAGACGGCTGGAACGCCTCAGAACCGCGTCAGAATGGAGCTGGAGAACGCAGCCCTGTGGAAACAGTTCAGCACGGTGGGCACTGAGATGATTGTCACTAAGAAGGGCAGGTGAGCACACGTCTGTATGCGTCAGGACATGTTTGGAGACATATGTGTCCCTGCAGCACAAAAGCAGTGTTAAGTCGCTGGGGTATATTTGTAGCAATAGCCAACAATACATTGTATGGGTCAAAATTATACATTTCTCTTTTACAGGGTCACATTTCATTGCTTTAACTTGTCTCTCTCTTCTCGGCTCCTCAGGAGAATGTTTCCTCAGCTGCGAGTCAAGCTGTCAGGGCTCAACCCGTCTCTGCGTTACATTCTTCTCTTAGACATCGTTCCTGTGGATTCCTCTCGCTATCGGTTTCAGGACAGCAGCTGGCAGGTGTTCGGCGGAGCGGAGGCTCGTCTGCCGGATCGTGTCTTCATCCACCCGGACTCACCCGCCACCGGAGAACACTGGCAGAACCGCACTATATCCTTCCACCGGGCCAAGCTCACCAATAACACTCTGGACGCACAAGGATATGTGAGTAAAAATGCACCATTCAATATCTGTATTCAAATTAGCTGTAAAAGTCTACTATCCTACTATTTAAACTACACTAACACTGTTTCAATAGTGTAAAGGATAATTACAATGAAACAGAAGTTGCAATACTTTAGACACTTTTATAATATTTTTTCAAATAGTGCAAAGAGGGTAAATTTTTTGATATTGGGACAATATTTGGGACAATATTTGGTCGAGATACAACTATTTGAAAATCTGGAATCTGAGGGTGCAAAAAAATCTAAATATTGAGAAAATCATCTTTAAAGTTGCTCAAATGAAGTTCTTAGCAATGCATATTACTAATCAAAAATTAAGTTTTGATATATTTACGGTAGGACATTTACAAAATATCTTCATGGAACATGATCTTTACTTAATATCCTAATGATTTTTGGCATAAAAGAGAAATGTATAATTTTGACCCATACAATGTATTGTTGGCTATTGCTACAAATATACCCCAGCGACTTAACACTGCTTTTGTGCTGCAGGGACACATTTGAGCTGTTAACTGTAAAATGTTTATGGCATAATGACTGTAATTGAGGTTTTGTAGGAGGACTGCTCAGGAACTCTGAGGGTGATTTGCATCTCTCTTTCTGCTGAAGATCATTCTCCACTCTCTGCATCGATACCAGCCGCGGGTTCATGTGATTGAGGCCCGAGACGTGCTGATGTGGGGCAGAGCACAGCACTCCTTCAGCTTCCCTGAAATGCAGTTTATTACCGTCACTGCGTACCAGAACAGCAAGGTGAAATTAATATATACATGCATAAAAAATTTATACTTATTAGTGAAAAAAGCTAAATATTTTTCTTCATTAGTACAAATAATAATTGTTTTCCTGAAAAATCTTGCTTAGTGTTTTTTATTTATTATTATTGTTTTCTTCTAGATCACCGAACTGAAGATAAACTCAAATCCTTTTGCGAAAGGCTTTCGAGAGTATGGCATGAACTGCAAGAAGTAAGTTAAACACCAGTATTACCAATTAATTAACTAATAGCAGACTAATAATATCTTATTTAAACACAAAAATGTTTTAGACAGCTGGACTGAGAGCACAATATAATTTTTCTGTTTTCCTCAGACAAAGAGATGCCAGACTAAAGAGGAAAATTACGTCCAGTCAAGAGGAATCTTTGGATATTGGTGAGCATATTTACTACCTCAATGTTCAGAAATACTTTTTTACACCGATTCTGTTCTCTTCGCAAAAGAATGCTTTAGTAAAAACATGCATGGTTTCCCAAATATTGCTGTTCTGCTTATAAAACGCTGTTTTCTCTGTACCCCTCTCTCAGAGTCATGTGACCCATGTGATTCCACGGAGCTCCTCCCACAGTCGGTGGAAATCCCAAGCTCCGCCCTCTCCATGATAAACACCGCCCTCCCATTAACAGACTCGGGTTTCCACACAGAAGTACCATCTCTCCCAGATCAGACCGTCTCTGACCAACCCCTCGCGCTTGGACAGGCCTTCTTGAGCTCTGAGATTCCCTCCTCAATGGAGAGTCAACAACAGACAGCCTCTGAAAACAATGTAAACAACACACTGATGGATGGGTAAGTGCTATAACCTCACAGCTACACTAACAGTGGTTAATGGACGTGTTTATTAAAGATAGCCTTATGTCTTATTACAGGTCTGGACAAATGATGGGCCTCTCCGGATACTCCTCAGCTTTCCCCACTCCTCAGCTCAGCTCCTCTTTGCCTCAGTCGTCTTCCATCTATTCCGTGGTTTCCTCCACACAGAGCTCTGACCTGGAGCTCCCGCCGTCCTCAACCATTCCCTCACCCACATACTCCTCTATGCCTCCATCGGACTATCCTGGTCTGAACACCTCCACGACTATGCCCTCCTCGACAACCTCTCCTCCAGGCTCTTCATACCCTCCCATCTCTCCGTACCTGCTCCCCTCTTCATCCTACTACGCTCTTCTTCCGACAGACCAATCCCAGGACAACCTAAGCCCTCATACGTCCACAAATCCACCTTTCCAATCCATCCCCCCCTCTTCTTGTCAAGGTTCTGGGTTAACGATTGACCCTGGCCGAAATCAAGTGGATGATGGAAGATTAGGCTCATCCAATGCAATGACTCCTGCAATCCAAAACCCAACCCAAACGGCCTTTCCCTTCCCTCCGGTGCAGTCCTCAAATGACCCCGATCCATCATCCCCTCCGTGTAGGAGTCTATCCTTCCCCCCAGTGCCGCAGTGCAACCCAATTCCCACTCCTTCCGACCCAAACTCGACTCCAGCTGCATTCCCCTTCCCTCCGGCAGCACAGTCCACTCCTAACTCTATGATGACAGCTTCAAACCCGAACCCGACGCTCTTCTCCTTCCCCTATGTTCAGCAGAACCCTAGCCTCAGCTTGAGTACCTCTGGACCTGCTCAAACTCCAGCCACTGGTTCTTTTCCAGTTTCCCAATCCTCATCCATCCCAACAGTTCCAAACCCAGTTTATCCAACAACTGGATCTTTTCCCTTCCCTTCCACCAATTTTAGCCATCAAGGCTTGGTGCAATCAGTTTCCAACGCACTGCACACTTCCGCAGCATACGCCGTCCCTTTATTCCCTGCACCCAAACACACTGCTCCTGCTCCTCTCCCAAACCCTGCTCACACTTCTTACCCACATCCGCTCCAGAGCCTGACTCTGCCCTCATCTAGCTCCATCCACTGTGTCCCTGCCATCCCAAACACAATCCAAATTCAGTCTGCCTTTACCCAGTCATTCCCTAATCCCTCCTTCCCTCACATCCCAGCCCAAACGGCAAACCCTGCTCAAATTCCATCCCAGTCCTTTCCCCCAATCCACAGCTCTCAGTTACTGTCTCAGTTTAATCCAGCCTCGACCCATCCGCAATGCCCTTCCTCTTCAAACGCCTACCCCGCCGTAGCTCGCTCTGAGATAGGCAGCTTCTCGCAGCTCAATTCCTATCTGCCAGATGTGGTACTGCACCCTTCTTTGCTCCCTTCCCTAGACTCCTCGCTCTCCTCCTCTGCTCCCCCGTCCCTTTATAACCCTTTTCCTTCCTACTCACTCCGTCTTTGCCAGGATCCTCGGTCCTCCCTGCATTTACCCCTAAGGCATATTTACACACAGCCACAGCATGCTCATGCTCAAGGGTCTTACTTTGACCTTGGTGCAAGAGCAGTATTCTGAGAATAAACAGAAAAACAACACGTAAGACAAAGTTTGCGAGGAGACGGTGATGTCTGCATCAATCAACGACTTTGCTCTGAAGATGATGGAAGCACTGTGCATTGGAGAGACAAACCAAAACACTGTAGTTTAAAATGTAATACTTTTTGTGCTTATGGCAGAAAAAGAAAATCTCCGCTGTTCATGAGATGGTTTGAAGTTATGTTTTATCCTGATTAATGCTTGATGTAATAGCTGAATAATGATGTATATTTTACTTATTTCTACATATGCTTAAATGACAAAATAAAGTTTGAATGAGTTTAATTGTACTAATATTATTATTCATTATAATCGTGTGTGTGTATACATAATAAATCCACATTCTATAGTGGACCCAAAAAGTATCTGGACACTTCGCCATAATTTAAACGTCATTGCATTAGAAACCGAAATTTGAAACCAAGCGGCATCTGCAAAATAAAGTTGCTAGACCTTTTCTCTAAGTCTGATCTGTAAGTCTCACTATAAAGATTTTCCATATTCTTTAACATTAATACCTTACAACACAACAGTGCTTTTTATTCCTGTCATGAAATGCCAAACATTGGTAAATCTAATTTAGTTGGTAATTAATTAATTAATGAGGCAAACAGTTAACAGTTTAGTTTGCTTTTCCCGATGCTCTATTCTTCAAATTGTGAGGAACTCGCTGAAACTTAAAGTCATGACAAAAAATTACAATATGGCTGATGCACACTAACAGTCATGATAACTGATAGGTTCTGATGACTTGATAGGTAAGAAAGATTAAGCCTAAGGATAACTGGGGCACTTTTACCAGTCATCTCAATTACAAAAAGTGCCCATGTTTACCTGAATTCACTCCCTATAGAAAGTATTACACATGCAGATTATGACAGAACGTGAAAGTGAGAATTTAAAACAAAAAATGAAAACAAATAAAACCGACATCCGTCTCTCACACAGTATTTTAACCATCATCACTGTGTCACTATAATCACAGGGTCGATTCCAGCTCTGCATGGCATTTGCTCAGGTGTTGTGTTGTGTGTGTGTGAGAGAGTGTGTGTGTGTGTGAGAGAGTGTGTGTGTGTGTGTGTGTGTGTGAGTGAGTGAGTGTGTGTGTGTACAGGTTTATATATCCTGGTGGGGACTTAAACCTGAATACACACAGACTCGTGGGGACTCGTGTCACGGTGGGGACCTAAATTGTGGTCCCCACAGGTACAAAAGCTTATAAATCATACAGAATGAAGTTTTTTGAAAATCTAAAAATGCAGAAAGTTTCCTGTGAGGGGTAGGTTTAGGGGTAGGGTTGGTGTAGGGCTGGTTTGTACAGTATAAAAACCATTATGCCTATGGA